TCAGTCTGTGATTTCTTATGCATCACTTTCATAACAATTTCCCATAAATACGAACTTAGGTTTTTTTTTCTTTCTTATTTTTATTTTGCAACAGATGTGACACTCAACTCTCTGGTGTCCGAGGCATTTGTGAGGTTTTTTGTGGAGCTAGTGGGACATTATTCTTTGAGCATGACTGTCACTGAGCGTGGAGAGCGTGTATTCCAAAGGGAACCATTCCGTAAATCCCATACCTCCCGAAGTGTACGCCACTTCCTGGATCTCTTCATGGAAACACAGATGTTTGCTGGCTTCATCCAGGACCGAGAGCTTCGGAAAAGTGGGGTGAAAGGTCAGTTTCATCATAAAGTTCTCCCCCTGTATTTAGTGAGCCCTTTGAGGGTTTGAAAATAATATAAACAACAACAAAAAAATGGTATAAAGCTACAAGGGCTCAAAATCTGAGTTATTATGGAAAATAATTCTTTTTATAATTTTGTTTTAGCTATGGAAGCACATTGGTAGTAAGCTGCAGAATTTTATTTAAGTGATTTTTAGTAAGTATTGGACAATTTCACCAGCGTGAGTTTACCTTGTAGGTTTGTTTGAGGTCCGGGCCCTCCAGTATTTGGAAACAATTCCAGAGTCCGAGCCCAGTGGGATGAATAAAATTTTGCGGAGTCTTGGTGAGTTGTTACGTTTTCTTGTTAAATAATGTGACTAAAAAACCTTTTGCAGAAACTGCCTCATCACAAAAGCTTTATAATCAAATCAACAATATAACCTCAAATAGGCTGACCAGAAACCATGACTGTACTTCCGAATTGTTTTGGAGAAAAAGAAGTCTTTCTCAGAGGTGGGGATTCTTCCATCAGAGTTGTCCTTGGGTCTGTTTTCCTCAGATAACATGAGAATTTGCATATCATAATTATTAATCTTTTCTAGATCACATCACTTTGAGAATCTCATAAAAACTGGATCTTTGTCTCAGAAAAGTATGCTAGAACATACAAATTTGCATATAATTATAGAGTATTCATGGACCCTCCTGAAACCCATCTGTGAACTCCAGATTAAAAACACCTTTTAGGGGGGCACCTGGGTGGCTCAGTGGGTTAAGCCTCTGCCTTCGGCTCAGGTCATGATCCCAGGGTCCTGGGCTCGAGCCCCGCATCAGACTCTCTGCTCAGCAGGGAGCCTGCTTCCCCTTCTCTCTCTACCTGCCTCTCTGCCTACTTGTGATCTTTCTCTCTGTCAAATAAATAAATAAAATCTTAAAAAAAAAAAAAAACACCTTTAGGGGTGCCTGGGTGACTCAGTTGGTAAGCAACTGCCTTCTGCTCAGGTCATGATCTTGGGAGTCCCGGGATTGAGTCCCGCGTTGGGCTTCCTGCTCAACAGGGAGTCTGCTTCTCCCTCTGACCTTCCCCTCTCTAATGCTCTCTCTCAAATAAATAAATAAAATCTTTAAAAAAAAAAACACCTGGTTTAGAGGTCATCTGAGGCAAAAGAGGATTTCCTCCAAGTCTAATTTTACACTTCAGAAAGAAACACAGATGTTTCTGATTTTTCAATTATAATAATTAACTTTTTATTATCCTTTGTGATATTGGGGAACAGTGATGTGGTAGGTAGCCCAAAATAAGGAAGAACTATATTCCATGCTGTTTATATTGGTCCTTGAAATACGTAACCCCTGGTAACTAGACTTGTCATAGGGGTCATTTTGTAGTGTATAAAAAAATTTCAAACCACTATGATGTACACCTGTATCTAATAGGACATTGTATGTCAATTTTAATACAAAAAGAAAAAGAAATACATGCCCCTAATTAAAGTAAGGACTTGTTCTTGTGCCTCGGGTTTTTATTTCATCTTTATACCATGAGGTTAGATCAAATCACTGGTCCTGAACTCTGACTACAATATTTTAATCTCTGGGGAACATAAATGAACATTTTTCCCACTGCAGGCTCCAAGAAATCTCTGGGGATCAGGCCAAGCAATTTTAACCTATAGTCAAGGTTGAAAGCCACTGGATTAGGTGAGGTCAGAGCTCTCTTCTACCTCTACAATTAGAGACATGGGGTTTGTTTATTTCTTTGGTAGTTAAACACATCACATGCTAGCTTGAGATGGCCACTCACTCGTGGGCTGTTCCAAATGACTAAGTTGTTAATCCCTTGCCTCAAATAATGTACAATAAATAAAAATGAACTAATGAGAGTTCACTCTACTTCTTTCTCCCTTTAGGAAGTAAGATGAAATTTCTGCAGAAGAAATGAAATCTTTGATAGACTCTCTCCATCTTAAACAGAAAGTGCCAAGAAAATATTTCTCCAAGAATTTGGATGCCCTGCAGTGGCCTAAAAGATCCTGGAAAGTTGAAAAGGTTACAAAGTGGGCCTGGTCCTTGGAGGAGGATTCTCCTGTTGCTGCTGTATGATCACTGGAGGATTGTTGGGAGTAGTCTGGAACCCATGTTCTCATTACTCTGCCTCCAATTTTTCTTTTCAGTGGCTTTTTCTATTTGATTCTTGGGCTCATTCTTTGTGTTATGTGCTTAGTCTGTGAAGGCACTTGTTTTTACTAGGGAAAGATTTGGTGTTATATATTTTTTTAAAAAACAGCTCAAAGATGAGCACAGTGAGAGAAATGCTGGATTGAAGGTACTGGGGAAGCATGATGGATGTGCAGAGTGCACCCTACACACGTCATTCTCATCACTGAACTATCACCATGGCAGCTTGAAAATTATGGGCTGTTGGAGCTGAGCTAAGGAATAGATTCCTCATATATCTCTAGTTTTTGTTTTTTAATCTAATGTTCTGTCTGAGGGAATCTAGTTATTAACACTGTTATTGAGTATCTTATACAAGTAGACACCTTGCAGCTCCTCCTCCACATCGTAGCCTGTCAACATTAAACTTTGTGGGCTTATAGCTAACGAAAATACCCTTTCAAGAGCATGAGAACTCCTACCCCTTTTCTTAGTGTCCCCTATGTGCCATGTGTGATGTATATCTATGTCATCTTACTCAGTCTTTAAGTCAGCTTCATGAGATACTTGCATCTCCATTTTATTAATGAAGAAACTGGAATTCAGAAAGGTTAAGTAACTTGCCCAAAGTTCTACAGCAGAGACAGAACTGAAGCCACAACTGTCTATTCATGAGCACAGAGAAAGTTGGTTAGTTCTGCAGATGGAAACTTGAGCTCTGTGGGATTATAGCTACTGAAAAGGTTTTCTTTTAAACTGAAGTGTACCAGAGCTGATTTTCAGCTCTGAGGACAAGGGACATCAAACTATAGGAGCCTGGATGACTCTCTTTTGGTTCCCCTAGAATTGGACTTTTTGCCCTAATTAAATTGGACTCAGACTATGAACATTCCTCGGCATTCACCACATAATCACCCTGAACCTTAATACCTAAAACAGCAGTAGTGATTAGGAGGAGGAACTTATCAATGATGGTTTAATTTTCATTGATAAATGTTATAGCAGATGTCAGTTTGTTTTCTTCAATTCCTGCTGAGGGTTTTAACTGGCATAAAAATATTTATTTGAACTTAACAAAACCGTTTAAGTTGTATTATGATACAGTTTATTGAGTTGTACAGTATTGTCATTACAGCCCATTCAGTTGTGCATGAATGAACCTGAAGCAGACCCCATTTAAGACTGGTGCTATATAGTTCTTATGGGTCTAGAAAATAGAACTGAGCCTATGTCTTGTTAAAAAAATGTTTAAGCATCTTACCCCAGTGGGGTTCTTACCAGACATCTCTCCTTTTGCCACTCCAATCCTGAGGGAAGAATGAGTAATTGGGAATTGTTTATAAAACGGGGGTAGGTCTTAATGGTGGTGAACCCTGACCGTCCCTCTGTGAGGAGACCTTGCTTCAGGGATGGGGGTCCTAGTTTATCCCGGTGACCTGAAGCTGCTTCCTTTTCTTAGGTCTGTTTTATCTTGTTTTTGTAAGGTATTATGAGTTCTGGACATATTTGTAAAAGAATTGCTCAAGACTTGTATAAAATGTTGTTTACAGATCTTTTAATGAATAAACAAAAAATTGGAGAATTTTAAATAAAGTTGCTTAAGATGTAAAGATCTTCTACTTCGCATAAACCCATAACTAGCACATTAATCTAGTTATAGGGTTAGACAGTCCGTCGCCAGCATTTCTAGGCTGTTGACAGACAAAGCCCGGGTCTTGATCGTAGACACCGGGCAGGGTATGCAGTCCGACTACCTTATTTGGCCTTGGCCTGCTTAGTGTATGGGAGCTAGGGACACAGAGCAGAGCCGGCGCACCGGCAGCCGCAGGAGTGGTTGGGAGACAAAGAGGAACACGAGTCTATTTCCGAAAGTCCTAAAGACAAGTGATCGGATTTAATATACGCCCCGAAGGCAAAATGACAGGATTTGATGGAGCTGGAGTTGGTGAGCTGTTTTTAATCTCACCCTGGAGGAAAAGATCAGGTTCCTTTGTTATGTAGACCCTAAAGCTTCGCAATTTTAACTGGCCACTGGCGCCGACTTCCAGAATCTGAAAAAACTGCATTTATCCAATGCAAGTGTTCTCAGAACTAAGAATAGTGAGGGGTACAGCAAGAAGCTCAAGGGGAGAGAAAAACCGCCACAAAGAAAAAAGTTAAGGGTTGTAGGTGGAAGGTTAGCGGAGTGGGAAACCTGTATCCCTCTCCCTGCCAAATCCTACTGCCCGTTCCTCCAAAAGTTTTTAAAGCATCCCGGTACCAGATACCAGCTTCCTCCAGGGAACGAAAAGTCCCAATTCCCCTCCAAATTGTTTCCGGTTGGAGGCAAAAAAGCGGAGCACAGTCGGGGACAGGAAATGGAAATGTTCAGCTGATTCTCGGACTCGCGGCGTGACGTCACGTCCTACCAAGACAAAATGGCAGGCCACTTCCTAGTAGCTCGGCGAGGGCGCCTTCAGAATTGACAACTGAGCATGCGTCAGAGCCAAGGCGCAAGCGACCTGTATTACGTCAGTGCGAGCGCAGGCGTAATGAAATGGGCCTGAGTTTGGGCGCACACAGAAAATTTGGGCAAGCTTCGGAATGGCGGGCACAGGCTTAGTTGCCGGAGAGGTCGTGGTAGATGCACTGCCGTATTTTGACCAAGGTTATGAAGCGCCCGGCGTGCGGGAAGCGGTGAGTTCGGGCCGGGTAGCGGATTCAGCACTCTCGGGCCCTTGGTGCTGGAAGAAGCACCTTACAAGTTGCTACCCCTCCCCGGCCCCCGTTCTCGTTTCTAGGCTGCGGCGCTGGTGGAGGAGGAAACCCGTAGATACCGACCTACCAAGAACTACCTGAGCTACCTGACGGCCCCGGATTATTCTGCTTTTGAAGTAAGTGGGACGTCTTGAGGCCACCGTATGAGCTAGGATCCTCTGACTCTTTACTTTGGATCGAGAGTCTTAGACACGTAAAAATGCATTTCAAATTCTGGCTTTAACAATTGCCTGCTTGCCTACTACTTACTCTGTCTTATCGGTGTTCCCGGTCCATTGAAAACAGCTAGATCAGACTTCTCCGGCGTTCTGATTCTGAGACCCACTGAAGGACTTTCCGGAGCTTGGCGAACTGCCCAGTCATGCAAAACGTAGTGTGTACGTTTTTCGGAGATCGGCTTCTTGCATACGTTCTCAGAGGCATCTTAGGCTCTCTAAGATCTTCTTTAAAACAAGTGATGAGGAATTTTTAATATATGTAAGCTTAGGTTACTGAGAACCACTGGAGGGCGGCCTTTGTGTCACAGCCTAGATACTTCGTGAATGTATGTGAATGAGTGAAGTGAGAAACCATTTATAAATAAAGTGCTCTTTAAATATTTAGCCTAGAAGTGCCCCCAAGATACTACTTAGTACTTAGGGTGTAATTAGCTACATGAAATGTAAAATATCATCTCTAAATTAATAGATTCTGTTAGGCATTTTAGTATTTACATGTTTGGGGGGTTTTTCCCCTATTATAGGTAACCATGTATTTAAAGAAAGAATTCTGTTATTTTTTAAAAGATTTTATTTATTAATTTGACAGAGAGATCACAAGTAGGCAGAGCAGCAGGCAGAGAGAGAGGGGGAAGCAGGCTCCCCGCTGAGCAGAGAGCCCCATGGGGGCTGGATTCCAGGACCCTGAGATCATGACCCCAGCTGAAGGCAGAGGCTTAACCCACTGAGCCACCCAGGCGCCAGAAAGAATTCTATTATTAAAACGCAGTGTTTATATTGAAGTAACATGAAAAGAAAAGTTGGTCAAGTTTTAAATAGGAAGATATTCCTATGATACATCATTTTACCATGTGTTTTCTAAATGTTGTTACCCAGATATAGATGGTACCACATTAAGAAGTAGATACAGTAATGCTTTCTTATTAGATTGGCTCCCAAAAATTTCAGATAACGGCATTCAATCACGAACTTTTAAATATTTGAACCAGTTTTCCTTTTAACTCTCCTAAGTGCAGCATGTATCTCCTATCTTTGTAATTAGTATACTGATCATTTATTCCTTTTTCGCAATAGGAATTGATAGTGTACTGGGCTCACCATCTCAGTACTGAAAACAGCTCTGTGAACTATATAACTATATGTTTATTATCCTAATTTTTTAAATGGGAAAACTGCAGCTTAGAGAAAGTAATCTGCCCAAGACCTAAACCACTCCTCAAATTTCTTTTGAAACTGCTCTTCCATTAATTAATTTAACTATTTATGAAGGTCTTTTCTAGCTAGGAATTGGGGGACTTAACTTTTTAGTCTAATTAATATAGTTAGTCTTTCTAGTCTTAACTTTTTAGTCTAATTAATATAGTTGAAGCCCTCAAAAAATTGATAATTGCTCAGGATAACTGAAATACTACTATAGGTGAATACTTAAGCAGTTCTTTATACTCAGGGCCAGGAAATGTGCAGAACAGAAATGAAATAGGATATTGACCAAAACTTGGACCTAAAGAAGTAGAGCTCTACCATGTGTTTTTTTACTTTTTACCATGTGTGCTTTGTTTTTGTTTTTGTTTTTTTAAAGATTGTATTTATTTATTTATTTGACAGAGCGAGAGAGCACAAGCAGGCAGAGCCGCAGAGGGAGAGGGAGAAGCGGGCTCCCCAGTGAGCAGGGAGCCTGATGCAGGGCTCAGTCCCAGGACCCTGGGATCATGACCTGAGCTGAAGGCAGTGGCTTAACCAACTGAGCCACCCAGGTGCCCCACCATGTGTTTTTTTAAATCGTACAGTTGTGGGGTGCCTGCGTGGCTCAGTCGATTAATCAGCTGCTCTGAGCTCAGGTCATGATCTCAGGGTCCTGGGATTGAGCCCCATGTCGGGCTCCCTGCTCAGCAGGGAGTCTGCTTCTCCCTCTCCGTCTGCCCCTCCCCACTCTAACTCATGCTCTGTAGCTCGCTCATGCATGTGCTCTCTCTCTCAAATAAATTAATTAATTAAAATCTTTAAAAAGAAAAAAAGAAATCATACAGTTGTTAGAGCAGATAGCAGAACCGGTTTCTTTAACCTCTTCCCCTTTTCTCATTCTTTGCAAAGAGAGAAGTGTAAAAATAGCAGCCAGGGCCAAAAAGAAAGTATGGATATAGGCTCAAAGCCCTAAAGCAAATTATTTTATGTCCAAGTCCTCTCCTCCTTTCCCCCACACCCCAGTGAATACTTAGATCCAGGGTCCTCAAAACTGGCTTCACTATACAGTCAACTGATGGGTTAAAAACAAGTTACAATTATGCCCAGTCTCCACCTCAGAAAAGTTAAATGGGAATGGTGGAGAGGGGTAAGATGATGTGGCTGGGAATGAAATTGTTTTCAGAGCTTCCACCTGATTTCTATGTGCTGCTGGGACTGGGAACCACTGATCTAGGAATAATCCTTTTCTCTGTGGGTCCCTTTACATATGAAGTGTATGTATGCTGATTCTTGAGAACATTTAACTCAGAGAAGACTTGGTGGGAAGGAAAGTGACCCATTTTATTTTATTTTTTAAATTTTTTTGGAATGATCAGTTTGAATGGATAACATATTTAAGTAGGTTACATTCATTTTTTGGTGGTTATTAATTGAAATTTATTGATATGATTTTGGAAATAATTCTTTCCCCTAATTAGACCGACATAATGAGAAATGAATTTGAAAGACTGGCTGCTCGGCAACCAATAGAATTACTTAGTATGAAACGGTAAGTTGTATTTCTGATTTCATCTGGACCCAAATCATTTTTTATTTTTAAGTTACTACTAAAATTGCTATAGCTCTTAAAATGTGGAAAATAAAAAATTCTTGTCTGATTTTATGTTTATGTTTCTTCACATAATAGTGGTTCCTATATCCTTTGTTTATGTTCAGATATATTCTTTGCACCTTTATTAAAAAGGCAAAATAGGGGAGCCTGGGTGGCTTGGTTGGTTAAGCATCCCATTTTGATTTTGGCTCAGGTCATGATCTCAAGAGTTGTGAGATCAGTTGCCTGCATAGGACTCCATGCTGGGTGTGGAGACTGCTTAAAATTCTTCCTTTCCCTTTTCTGCTCCCTACCTCCCCATTTGCTGGCACAAGTGCGTACTCTCTTTCTGTCTCTTAAAACACACACACACACACACACACACACACACACACACAAAATATGTAAAATCCAACAACAGGAATGGTGATTGTACTGAAGTTCATGTTTTTAAGGTTTTCCAAGGAGGGGCGCCTGGGTGGCACAGTCAGTTGAGCTTTCTGACTCTTGGTTTCAGCTCAGGTTGTGATCTTGGGGTCATGAGATCGAGCCCCGCATTGGGCTCAGCGCTAAGCACAGGTTCTGCTTGGGATTCTGTCTCCCTTTCCCCTGTCCCTCTGCTCATGCTGGTTCACTCCCTCTCTGTTCAATAAATAAATCTTTAAAAAAAAATTTATTTTTTTTTTTTTCAAGGAAATGTTCCTGATTAGGCATCTGGTTCTTCACTGATCACATATCTAGGTGAAATCAAGTTATGGTTTGTAATGATCCCTGATTGACTCTGACACAGAACATTAGTAAACAGTGCCCAGATAGTTTGACTTTGGTTCCACTGTGTTCCCTCCTGTTCCATTTTATTACAAAACTGCTTCTCCTCTCTTAGAGAAGAAAACTCCAAACATCCTTTGTTACTGTCTCTAAAATGGAGAATCGGATTGCTTAACATGTGAGATCTCTTTCAGCTTGAAGTAAGTATGGAATTATGGGAACCACTAAGTACTCTGTCAGAGCAGAATCTTTTGAGATAGGGCCACATGCACAGGTCTATCCTCTCAGCAGATGTATAGATTTAGAAGAGGGATTTGAGTCTGTAGAACCAGAGGATCGTATTTCTTGTGCTCCATTTCCTGTCTGGCCTAAGTGAGTGATAAAGGAAGAAGTTCTGGGATCCCTCAGTTCTTCATTTCCAGGTGCTTCTGCTCTATAGATACTCACAACAATAACTCCTTTATGGCGGTATATCTCACAGCAGAAGTAATGACCCATTAAGCAATGGATCATGAAGGAAATTTAGTAAGTTTCCAAAAGTTAACTTACTTAATAAGAAAGGTAGTAAGATCCAAAAGTTCTCAGAGCAATTTTTTAAGGAAATAGAAAATAACAATATAATGCAAGTAAAGGCAACTATTGTTTTGTGAAACTTTTTTTCTTAAGATTTTATTTATTTGTCAGTGAGCAGAAGTGGGGAGAGCAGCGGGCAGAGGGAGAAGCAGGCTCCCCACTGAGCAGGGAGCCCAATGTGGGACTCGATTCCAGGACCCTGGGATCATGACCTGAGCTGAAGGCAATGCTTAACTGACTAAGCCACCCAGCTGTCCCTGTTCTGTGAAACTTTTGTTGAGCTATGTGTATTTGGGTACTGGATCACAGATACTTCCTACCATGAGTTATAATCAGAAGTTTGAAAACTGCCACATTACAGCCTTTTTTTTTTTTTTTTTTTTTTTTTTTTTTTTTTAAACAAAGTGGTATGTCACTTTTTTTATTTTGAGGGAGAGCAGGTGACAAGAGAATCTTAAGTAGACTCCATGCCTAGTGTGGAGCCTGACACAGGGAATCTGGGAATTGATCTCACAACGCTGAGATCATGACCTGAGCCGAAATCAAGAATTGGATGCTTAACCAACCGAGCCACCCAGACGCCCCTGGTTTATCACTTCTTGATCTAGTTGCATGCCCCTCAGTTGTTCATAGGAATAATGTGGAGTCTTTACTGTATCTAGTCAAATTATTAAAATGGAAATTAAACTTAGTTTGTAGTAACTCATCAGTAATGAGCTGAGATTCATGAAGAGTGTACTTACTGGCTATATCAACAGTGCTGAAGGACTGTTTAGTATGAAGAGAGAATAGAGTAGGTCCAAATGCAAAGAATTTTTACATCCCTTACCATTTTTTTCTCTAGAATGGTTTGGGTGTGTCAGTGGAAACCTGGATGAGTGTAAGTGTGTTTTTTCAAAAATGATAGCAGGGGTGCCTGGGTGGCTCAGTTGGTTAAGCATCTGCCTTCAGCTCAGGTCATGATCCCAGAGTCCTGGGATCGAGTCCCACATCGGGCTCCTTGCTCAGTGGGGAGCCTGCTTCTCCCTCTGCCTGCTGCTCCCCTTCCTTGTGTGTTCGAGCTCTCTCTGACAAATTAATAAAATCTTTAAGGAAAAAAAAAAGATAGTATAGGTTTATTTGTGTCCTACTTTTTTCTCCTAATATATCACAAGCATGTTAATGTTTTTTTGTTGTTGTTTTGGTTTTTTTTTAAGATTTTATTTATTTATTTGACAGAGAGAGAACACAAGTAGATGGAGAGGCAGGCAGAGAGAGAGAGAGGGAAGCAGGCTCCCCGCTGAGCAGAGAGCCCGATGCGGGACTCGATCCCAGGACCCCGAGATCATGACCTGAGCCGAAGGCAGCGGCTTGACCCACTGAGCTACCCAGGCGCCCGCATGTTAATGTTTTAAGTATTCTTCAGTGGCATCATTGAGCAGCTAATTTAACAAACTTTTATATGAATACACTATCATGTTGAAGTAAACAATTTTTTTGTTACTGTATATAATGGTGTTAAATCTTATTTGTAAATGGATTTTTTTTTATTGGATCATATGGTATTTTTATTTTTCATTTCTTAATATAAATGGATTTTAAATAGGTTCTTATTGAACAGTCTGATCTTATCTTGAATTTTCCGTGGATTTTATGTTGTGCGTACACCTGGGAGGTGTTCTTTTGGAAGGAACGGAAAATTTAGAGGAATATGTGGTTTCAGTTTATTTTTGTTTAATTTCAGGTATGAACTTCCAGCCCCTTCCTCGGGTCAGAAAAACGATATTACCGCATGGCAAGAATGTGTAAACAATTCAATGGCCCAGTTAGAGCATCAGGCAGTTCGAATTGAGAATCTGGAACTAATGTCACAGCATGGATGCAATGCCTGGAAAGTATATAATGAGTAAGAAGCTTTTTGTTTTTATTAAACCCATCCCACCCACAGTTTTGGTATTTTTTTTAAATATAGGAATGGGTGCCTGGGTGGCTCAGTCAGTTAAATGTCTGACTCTTGTGGCTCAGGGTCATGGGGTTGATCCCCATGTCTGCTTGAAGATTCTCTTCCTCTGCCCTTCCCCCTGCTTGCTTGCTTGCTCTGTCAACAAATAAATCTTCAAAAAAAAAAGTGAAGTGGGATTTCAATAGTATAGTGGACTTTCATTTGAGATCATGTCCTGGAACTGCTACAACCCATATGATAAGCCATGGCTTTCAGACCCACCTCAAAGAGTCCAGAGGAGGGGCGCCTGGGTGGCTCAGTGGGTTAAGCCTCTGCTTTCGGCTCAGGTCATGATCTCAGGGACCTGGGGTCGAGCCCTGCGTTGGGCTCTCGGCTCAGAGGGAAGCCTGCTTCTCCCTCTCTCTCTGCCTGCCTCTCTGCCTGCTTGTGATCTCTTTGTCAAATAAATAAATAAAATCTTTAAAAAAAAAAAAAAGTACAGAGGAGTTCTAAACCTAACTACATTTATTGTGTAATATTGTAATTAAATGAGTTCTGAGGTCTGATTGACAAATCACAATATGGTGAAATGGAATCCTTAATGTGGGCACTGCTCATACAATCGATTCTCATTAGTTGCATGTTATATTCTATAAAGTGGCCTTGAATACTGAATTAGCAAATACATTTTTCTTGGTGGAAATAATGTATGCGTATGTATACACATCTCATCTAGACTATAAATCCTAAAGACAACTCCTGGCAAATTCTATTTTCTTTATTTTATGAAAGAGAAAACAAAGTTCAGAAGTGTAAAGTAATTTGGCAGAGTTGGAAATTAAATCCTGTCCTTTGGTCGTCTCTGTATGAGCCTGAAACAGTAAGTCAGATTGCTTCCTTGTTGCACTTCAGCCAAGAATCTACACATCCAACAGCTCAAATTTTGCACATGCTGTTCATGATCTCAAAATGCCACCGGTACTGATCTCGGGGTTACAAGTAAATTCGAGTGAGTAGGTAAGTTCATAAGTACAGAATCTGCGAATAATGAGAATTGACTATAAGAGAATTAACACAGGAAGCGAAGTGGCCACATAAGCCACGGAGCTCTACTTTCTGTTCCATGCAGCTAGCTTTAGGTTTTGTTATCTTTCTAGGGCTCAGTTTTCTTATTTGTAAAATTTGGTGGTTAGACGATACCTGTGATGCCTTTGAGCCCTAAAATCCCCTGAGACTATTAACATTTTAATAGTTGAAGGAGAGAAAGCCCTTGAACCTCATGACACTGCATCAAACTATTTGCTAGAGTATGTTTCCTGGAATAATAAAGCAAAATCACAGAGTGATAAATGGTTTTTTTCAGTTTGTCAGAATTATGTTTTAAATTTATTTGGCCACGTAAGGATCCAGTGGGCAAAATCCAGAATTTGGGAAACTACAGCATAAATAGTTCATTTCTTTTGTGAATATATTGCAAGGGAGATAAAGGAAAAATGGGTTTGGGAGGATTAAGAAACAGATCGAGCAAACAAATGTCTGTTAAAAAAAAATGGTCTGTATTGTATGAAGTGGAAAAACGGGACCTTTGTCCTCAAGAAGCTTTACCTAGTTGAGGAGATAAGATACTTCTCTGCCAGATAGCCAGTAGCCCGTAATTAGCAGTATGGGGACACGTGCTGTATCGTGTGCTGTGCTCTATAAACTACAGACACCCCTAGAAGGGACGTTAAGAAATAAAGTCATTAAAAAAATTAAGCTCATTTTTAAAATGGTGAGATTTGGGGGAATTTTGGTAGTTCATTTGGTTAGGCGTCTGAGTGTTGATTTCAGCTTAGGTCGTGATCTCAGGGTCCTGAGATTGAGTCCCATGTCAGGCTCCTTGCTCAGCAGGGAGTCTGCTTGAGATTCTTTATCTCCCTCTCCCTCTGCCCTTCTCCCCCCATGCTTTCTTTCTCTAAAATAAATAAATCTTAAAAAAAAAAAAAAAAATGGTGAGGTTTGAACATTTAGAAGAGAATGAGAACGCTCCCAAGAAGGGAAGAGAGCATAGATGCAGGGGAAAAAAATAATAGATTGAAGAAAACATTGCTTTCTACTTGCCTAGAAACCTCTAATACTTTTCGGGTGCCTGGGTGGGTCAGATGGTTAAGCGTCTGCCTTCAACTCAGGTCATGATCCCAAGGTCCTGGGATCAAGTCCCAGATTGGGAAATCTGTTTCTCCCTCTCTCCCTGCTTGTGCTTACTTGCTTGATCTCTCTCAAATGGATAAATAAAATCTTAAAAAAAGAAAAGAAAGAAACCTTTAATAGTTTCCCATTTGTTACAAAGTAAGATCCAGACTATTTAACGTGGTATTCAAGGCAAATGGCTGTGTATCTCAATGGCAGACCTTCATTCCAGCCAAGGGAATCTTCTCTTTCGTGATTATCATAGCTCTGTCCTTGCCTTTAGTCACGGTTCATCACCTCCTAGAGTGTCTTTACCTAGTCTACCTAAATTCAGTTTATTTAAGGCTCTACTCTAATCCACTCCTTTGTCTTCCCATCTTATTAAAGTAAGTTTTCTTTCCTTGTGAAAGGATTTGAGGGCATCAAACATGGCATGGGCAGTAAGCTTTTAGTTCTAAGTAGGTCTTGGTTCGTGATTGCTTAAAAAAATTTTTTCATTTATGAGAGATTTATGTACTTGCAGTTAAAGGGAAACCTTCAAGGCCAGGACTTGTTTTTACAGATAAACAGGTTTAACCTCATTGATGTCAAGTGACTCATTAAAGGACATACAGCTTTTTAGGGCAGAGCTGGGACTAGAACCCAAGTCTTCTGACTCCCATGATGCAGTGCTATAAGTTTTAATAAAAGTATGTTCAGTGCTTGAGGAGGGTCCTGTATATGGATAAAACTTTGTTTTATTACACTTTGCTGTTTTACATTTTTTACGGATTGAAGGTTAGTGTCAACCTTGGCTCAGCCAGTCTGTCGGCCCCATTTTCCAATGGCATTTGGTCACTTCCTGTCTCTGTCACATCTTAGTAATTCTCTAAGTATTTCAGACTTTTCCATTATATTTGTTACAGTGATCTATGATCAGTGATTATGACTCATTTAAAAGTCAGAACATTGGTTAGCAGTTTTTAGTTAATAAAGTATTTTTTAATTAAGGCAAGTACTTTTTTTTTTTTACACGTAATGCTGTTATACACTTAATAGACTATGGTATAGTATAAACAACCTTTATATGTATTGGAGAACAAATTCATTTGATTTGTTTTATTGCTATACTTGCTTTATTGCGTGGTCTGAAACCAAGCCTGCAATATCTCCGAGGTACACTTGTACTCATGGAGGATGAAAGAAAGGAGAAGACAACAAATAAACAGGGCTTTCAGGAAGAGGTCATTCAAGGGGAAGCTTCCTATTAAAGGTCAGAGGTCAGGACTGGAGTACCAAACTTAATTGTCCTCAGGAACATGGAGTGATTCCTAGAAATCAAGGAAAGGGAGATGAGCTGTAGTTAAGCCTGGAGAGACACAGCTGTTTGAAGACTGAATCTTCAGAGAATTTCAGGTAGTGAGAAAAAAAAAAGTAAGTCAGTAGAGACAGAAGAATAACTTAGGAGAAAAGCAGGAGATTTAAGTCACGAAGCCAGGAAACAATTGTAGATCTACAGCAAGAGGATAGTAGGGCCAATGTGGTTGAAATGGACCCTAAAGGTGATTTTCTGCTGCCTTAAGAGGAAATTGATATGGTTGCAAGAATTACATCTCAGTAAAGCTGTTATTTAAGGGCAAGGACGGGGGATGGCCTCTACTCTTGAATCACTTCTCTAATGACAGTAGTAACTTGGACTCTATATTGCTCAGCTTTCCCCCTGTGGCACTGAGAGCCAACTTGCACTGGAATCACAATCTCCAGCCTTCCAGTGTTCTCTTCTCTTTCTAGCTAGCCGTAGACAGGAGGGGAGAAAAGCAGGATAAATGCAGGTACAGAAATATGGAGATAATAAGGGATTTGAATGAATACACTCATATGAGTTATTTTCAGTGTTCTCCATGAAAAGTACTGACAGTTTAAGTAGTGACAGGTACAAAAAATCAGAGTGTCAATGAACTGGTTGGGCTCCAGAAGTTAAAAGACCTGAAATGGAATTCAGCTCCAACATTCATCTATGTTACCTTGACTAAGTTACTTAATTTTTCTAAGCCCTTAATGTCCCTATATGTGAAATAGGGGCAATCGTACCTACCTCAGAGAATTCTTAAGAGAATTAAAGTAGCTAATATGTAAAGAGTGTCTAACGTGGTGTTTGGCACGGAGCTCAATAGCGGAAGAACTGGAACTTGTATCAACTAGATAGCTCACTTTTAGTTGGTATTATTAAATGTTAATGTCTGTTAACCTGATTTTCCTCTTTTCCTTCCTTAGAAATCTAGTTCATATGATTGAACATGCACAGAAAGAGCTCCAGAAGTTAAGGTAAGTTGTTTCTTCCTCTTACTTTATTTTATTATTTTATTTTAGTTTTTAAGTAATCTCTACATCCAATGTGGGGATCAAATTCACAACCCAAGATCAAGAGTTGCATGTTCTTCTGACTGAGCCAGCCAGATGCTCATATTTTCCTCTTATTTTAGAGTGAAGTTTAGGTAGAAACTTAATAAACAGAATGAGAAGACAAAGGAACCAATGGACTGTAGTCATTTGAGAGTAATACTTGATGATCCACTCTGTCCAGCATCCAGTGCTGGGTTTGCCCTACTGGAGTGGAGGAGAAATAGACTTAACATCTGGAAACATCTCTACCAGGCCATTTGCAATTTGCAAGTCTACAGACATTAAAAAGGCACTTTTAGGAGAAAATGTTGCAGAATGACATGTATAATTTGGGGTGCCTGGTTGACTCAGTCAGTAAAGCATGCAACTCTTGATCCTGGAGTTGTGAGCTTGAGCCCCACATTGGGCATTTAATTTAAAAAACTAAGTCTCTACTTGCACATACACATATAGGAGTTTGGGGAAACACCCACCAAAAACTGAATAATAATTAGGAGAAGCACATGGGAGGAGGGACTTCTGCTTTTTAATTTCTATGTGCATGTATGTGAATGTGTTTAATTTTTCATGGTGAGCTTATGAAATTGGTAATTGAAAAATAAAAGATAGTTAATTCTCAGAATTGGTCTGTAACTGTATACGTCTGTCCTTTTCAAGAGATTAAAAATGTGTTGATTGTTGATTTCTCTGTTGATTTTAGTCTTATGATCAAATGTAGGTGGGTTGTATAAATAATTTTTTACAGGAAACATATTCAAGATTTAAACTGGCAGCGAAAGAACATGCAGCTCACAGCTGGATCTAAATTAAGGGAAATGGAGTCAACGTGAGTATCTTCACTTCCACCAACTATTAAATCGCTAAGCACATTTTAAGATCAGGATTTAACAGTATGGTTCAACAGTATTCAAATGCGATGCCACAAGTGTCACAGAAACGCTGTTTTCTGAATGCTGCTCTTCACTGCTTTTGCCTATCTCTGATGTGTGGTCTTGGAAGGCATTGAATGGGGCAGAACCACTGTTACTTGATTCTGGTCTCAGAGCACCTTATTTTCAGTTCAGTATTTCTGCTCTGAATAGGATTCGATTTACATTCTCCATTTAAAAGGAGGAAAACTATCTACTTTTTAGCTCATCAGGGAGATTTCATACTATGATACTTTGTGTCTTAGGGTTTTTTCCTTTTGTTTACATACTTTTAAATGTTCTTCATATGTGTAGATAATTTTATATGAGTCCCTATAATTATGAATTTTGTATCATTTCTCTTTTTTGCTTTGCTGTTTCCCTTCTTCCTCCCCACCCCGTCTTTCTCCTTGTTCTCCCTTCTCCCTCCATACATTCCATGTTCTCAGTCTATTCGTCTTTGCACATTTTTCTTCAAGCTCATATAATCTCCCAAAGACACATCTGTGTTTCTTTTATTTGTCCTAGAGATTTTTTTCCTGGGGGAGGAGGAAGGCTGCTTGGGTCTATGGAATTTTCTCTGGTTCTAGAAATTTCTCCACCATTTTTAACCACTGCTTCTGCCCTATTTTCTCTCCTTTTATGTTAACCCCATTAAATATAATCTTTCATCACCTCATCCTGTCTCCAACTATTTCTAATTTGGATTTTTAAAATTTTTTTAATTTGAAATAATTGTAGATTTACATTAATTTATAAGAGATAATACAGCTAGAATCTTTTTTCTTCTTTTAAGACTTTATTTATTTATTTTGGAGAGAGCTTGAGCAGAGAGAAGGGTGGAGGGGAAGGGAGAGAATCTCAAGCCAACTCAGCATGGAGCCTGGCATGGGTCTCTCAGACTCATGACCCTGATGTCATGACCTGAGCCAAAAGTCGATGCTTAACTGACTGAGCCACCCAGGCACCCACTACATCTAGAATCTTACATACCCTTTTCCCCTGATTCAGGTTTTTTTTAAATGGAAATTTAGAAGTGAAGGTTCATATTACGAACCTGGCGGAAAACATGTATATGGTCAAATCTCCTAAGAGAAATTTTATATTGAGTAATGTTTTTTCTTTTTTTACTCTTCTAGTTGGGTATCCCTGGTCAGTAAGAATTACGAGATTGAAAGGACTATTGTGCAATTAGAAAATGAAATCTTTCAAATGAAGCAGCAACATGGAGAGGCAAACAAAGAAAATATCCGGCAAGACTTCTAAAAAGACAAACTTGGTGGGAAGAAAAGAAGGCAAGCTGGGCTTTCACAGAAGATCAGGCATCTGAACTGTGAGGGAGAACTGCATCCTAAGAAAATCATCAGTGTTTAAATGTTTATTGTAGAGTGTGGACTGTTATATTTGTACATTTCAGCAAAATAAAAACTTTCAGCTTGGTGGGGTTTTTTTCCTGTTTTTTTGCCATTTAAAAAAAATCTAGGCTTTCAAAATAAGTATGATATTAGAATAATAATATATCATGGGATTAATTTTGAATCATTGGAACATATTTTGTATCTGAGAGATCTTTACTGAAAGTTTTTAACATGTACAAGAAGTGGGAAACTTTTGGTTTATATATTTCCAAATAAAGGGGTGTTTCTAAACAAATTTTTGATTACCAAGCAAGACTTCCAAAATATAATGGCTCCATCTCTGTCAACCAACTTCATTATTGTAGGTAACAGTTTAATAAAACTTGATATGTGCTGAGCCCTGTTTTAAGCATGTTAGGTAGATGAACTAAGGAATAAAAAGATAATTTGATCCTCACAAAAACCTTAGGAGTCAGATATTGTTGTTCCCATGCACAGACTTGTAATGGGTGCTGATTAAGTAGCCTGTTGAAGTTATATAGCTGGAAAGTCATCCAGGTGTTCGGTAGTAGTACAGTGCCAGAGTTGTGTTCTAACCCTCTATTTGTAAGGAATGAACAAGTATAAAAGATTACTGCCTGATTCAGAAAAAATACTTACAGTTTCCTGTAATCTTTTTTGCTCTCTGGGTTCCAGGTTTTCCTTATCCCAAGCCCAGCCGAAATGCAGAGTGTTAAGTTTGTGATTATGAAATAAAAACTAGACAGTAAGCCCATTATTGCAGGAGGGAGTAAGATGGAGAATTAAAACAATGTTACTCCCAAGTTTTTCTTAATGGAGGAGAGAGAATACCATCCTTGGGAGCAGAGGGTTCCTGGCTTAAGGTCATAACTTGCCATGAGCATCAAATATTGCAATCTTTTATTTTTTAAGTTTTTATTTTACTTACCTTATTTTACTTAAGTATCTCTACACCCAACATAGGGCTTGAAGTCACAACGCCAAGATCAAAAGTTGCGTGCTCTTCTGACTGAGCCAGACAGGCGCCCTTGGACTCTCTTAATTTTTTTTTCTAACAGTATTACTGCCCCATGGGAGGATTCATTCCACTATTGCCTAATCCAATTTGCTGTACCTTCTACTCAGCCCCAAGAAATTGTATCTTCTGCTGTTCCCTGCCTAAGAGACTAGACTTCAAGTAATCCCTGTCTCTTGCCACACTCCTCTCTCCAGTGATACTTCCTCAAATCCCCCTTCTCTCTTTTCCTGTTTTGCTAGTAAATCCCAGTCTGGTTTAGTGACCAGCCTCAGGGCTTGCACGTTTCCTTGGCTGAAGTGAGCTCGGAGGGCCCAAGTTCAGAGGACATTACTCCATAGAAAGCAGCAGCTCTCATCAACGGCAAATCACTAAATTGAGATTGAGAGTTCTTTTTCTTTAGACTCATCATAGTCCTGAAATTTGTCCCATTAGTTGAGATTGCCCTCTTGTTCATAAATAACTACGTAGAGCTTGAGGATGACCCCAAAACTAAGAGAAAACAAGTCAGCAAGTTAACTATCTCTAGGTTGATCTGTGAGTCAATAAACTGCCTGTTTCGCAAGTCAGTTTCAGGTGGATTTTCCATCACAACATAAACCATCCTAACTTAAGAACCTCAAGATAAAATAACCAGGTTTTTTTTCCTGAAGATACGTAACATGCAGCAAAACACTGGATTTTTACAATGTTTTATCTTAGAGTATGCAGCGTGGATTGAGGTCTCTTCTGTTGCCATCCTACAAGGGAAAGTATTGAGCAGAGGTAAGTGTGAAATAGTTACCGTTCTCTATCAACTTCGAGAGAAATTGAGCTTCCTAGCCTGTATGAAAGAAATCTCTTCATACATTAAGTTCACTGGCATGTTTGTAAGTTCTCTTGAAAAATCTCCGGGGTGTCTGGCTGGCTCAGTCGGTAGAGCATGTGACTCTTGATCTCAGGGTTCTAAGTTTGAGCCCCAATTTAGGTGTAGAGAGGACTTAAAAATAAAATCTTTAAAAGATACTTTAATCTCATTATCTTTAATCTTAATTTTTTTTTTAATTTTTACAAAAGATATGTAATTTGTCTTCCTTTACCCCTCCACCTCCTTTTCCCTTTCTGCTATTTGGTTCCAATCCAGTATTACTACCATCCCAAACTTAGTGGTATAAAAAACAAAAACAAACAAACAAAAAAATTTATGTTATCTTTCACAGTTCTGAGGATTTACTGGGCTGAGGTAGAGAGTACTTCAGGTTTCTTGTACAGTTGTGAGTCCCCTCAATAGATTGTTCGCTTGTATCTGACACATGGGCTGGGAAGATTCAGACAACTGAGTGCTGGGACATTCAGGGGCACCTCTCTCTGTGTTTGTTGTTTCTCTGGTATGGAGGCTTCAGGGTAGCCAGACTTCTTACGTGACAACTCAGGACTCCAAAGGCATACATCAGAGAGTCCAGCAGAAGCCTATTACCTTCTATGACTTGGCCCCAGAAGTCCTACTTAATTCTGACGCATTGTATTTGTTAGACGCAAGTCAGTGAGTCCAGCCGTCATTCAAGGGAGAGGAATTAGATTCCACCTGTTGGGGATAGTGTTGAAGAATTTTTGGACATACTTGTTTTTTTCTAAACTTAGACATGTCTTGATATCCCCCTCCATTCCCTTTCCAGTAATTCAGTCCTAAAATCATTAGATGGGGCAGAACAAAGTAAATATCCATGTAGAGCATGAGCCCTAAGTCCATTCTGGCTGCTGTCCTTAGAAGAGAGGAAGACACACACACACACACACACACACGGAAGGCCTTGGGAAGACACACCAAGGGATCATCACGGAAAGACAGAGATTGCAGTGATAAGTCTACAGGCCGAGGAATGCCAAGGATTGCTGGCAACACCAGAAGCTGGGAGGGAGGGATGGAATGCATTCTTAATAGAGCCTTCTGAAAGAGCATGGCCATGCTGACACTGTGACTTCAGACGTATAGGCTCCAGAACTGTGAGACAGCGGTAAATGTCTTGTTTTAAGCCTGCAAGTGTGTGGTATGTTACTAAGGCAACCCTAAGAAATTAAAACAGATACACTGTGACAAAGTTGAGGGCCACAGTTGTGTTGAAAACAAGGACTCTATGAATGATATTCTGGAGGACTGAGGCTGTTCTCCATCCCTCCATCCCCTGCTCTCTGCCCTCTCTCAATAGCAAATTGGAAAGTCTTTGGAGCCCAAGAGAAAAAATTCTAAAGTTTGTTGAAATTGACAGTTTTTCAACAAATGACTCAGCCAAGTCACTTAGCAGTGAGGCTCAACAACCCCTTCCACTCTAACACCCAGAGCTGCTAATCTGTGTTTTACTTCCCCACCCTTTTTTTTCCCCCGGAAATAAATTTTATTATGTTAGAATATTCCTTAATTAGCGAGCAATTATTTATGTGAAGGGGAGTTCAAAAAACAGATTTATGACTCTTATTAGCCTTGTCCTTGATTAGAGATTTATGAATTATACACAAAATATTATTGCCTAGAATAGGTCACTCTAGAAGCGGTAGTAGAGAAGGTCCAAGAGACTATGAACTTGGAAGAGCTTCTCTCTGCTTGTCCGGCTGTGCCAGTTGGACCACAGGACTTGGGTACAAGGATGGAGATGTTTTCTCTGCTGAATTTAAAGCTTTCCCACAGTTCAAATGCTCTCCTGCATGCATCAGTTCAAAGGCTTCATTCATTTGGTCAGAAGGCAGATTTTGAGTCATAAATTCATCAACTTTAATCTTTTGGGGCATTTATTCGGACACCAACTTTGGGACACTTTGCATACTCTTCCCTTCTCCAAAGGCAGTGCCTTTCCACATGCGGCCTGTGACCAGCTAAAACGGGCGAGTGGCGATTTCTTCCCCTGAAGCGGCTACTCCTACTCCCATGATGACTCCCCAGCCTTGGTGGTGGGCCTGGAACATGGCTCTCATGACTTTCACGTAACCAACACACTTGAAGGAATGGGCCACTCCCCCGTCAGTCATTTCAACGAGCACTTCCTAGATGGGTGTCCAGAAGTCCTGGGGTTAATAGAGGCTCCAAACTCCTTGGCCCTTGTGAATTCATCTTTATCAATGTCACACCAATGATCCAGAATGCACAGCCCATGAGAGCTGCCAGTCCAACTCCTCCTAGGCCAAAGATGGCACCAATGGAGCCAGACTGCCCTTTGTCAGTGTTCACAGCAGCATCATGACCAGCTGAAATGCCAAAACCCAGAAGGCAGACTTTATCCAGAGGTGCTAATGGATCAATTTTAGCAACTGTAGATGACTTTAGCAACTGTAGAGATGTCAGCCACAACTGTATATTCAGGAAATGTGCTGGTTCCCTTGGAATGTAGAATTGTCTTTCCTTTGCAAGTAAATCTGCTAGTCCTTGTCCCTTGAGTAACTCTTACTTTCTGCAAAGGTTTGTTTTAGGGTTTAGACAAAAGTTACATTCTCCACACTGGGATATGAAGTGGGATGACAATATCATCTGCCTTCAGCTTAGTAAATACTTCGACAACACTTTCCTTGATTCTAGCACCTTCAGGGCCCAAGATCATTGGAAAACTCCCTTCGGGATCAGCTCCACTAAGGTTATAGGCATCGGTGTGGCAAACTGCAGTGGTGATCATCTTAATTCGAACTTCATGAGCCTTTGAGGTACCACCTCTACCTCCCCTACAGAGAGAGGCTTTCCTGCCTCCCAGGCAGGTGCAGCCTTGCACTTGATAACGTGGTTTGCTGTGTCCTTGGACTCAGGTCAGTGAGGGGCAGACATGGTGGGCCTCATGGGGACATCCCATTCTTAACTACGAATGGACAGTTGAGGATTACCAGACATAGCCAACGAGCATCTTTATCGTGAAAGACTAGGAACAAAAACAGAGGAAACCCCATGAGGAAAACAGATGGTGCAAGGAGGAAACTTTTGTTAAGAAATATATCCTCAGACGGGGTGCCTGACTGGCTCAGTTGGTAGAGCATGTGACTGTTGATCTCGGGGTTGTGAGTTTGAGCCTCACATTGGGGGTAGAGTTTACT